TGTATTGCACGCTTGGCACGATTTGTTTACTTTTGAAGTTTGGTAAAAATCGAACATTTCTGCTACTTTGAGCTCAATTTCAAGGCACCTTTCATTGTAAAACCAGTCAAAATCATCTCAATTTCTGTAATATGTCTTCCATTCTATAAAATGAAACCAAGAAAACTAGAATACAACAATAAATACCATACGAAAATACACTGCAAAGTCGCTGATTTATTCCAAAAAAATGGTCAAAGTTTTTTTTTTCTCATTATGCACTGTGTGCTGCAGGATTTTTTTTATACTGTGCACACTGACCACATAGACCCATTCTTTCATATGAAGGCCTACCAGCTTTCTCCCACTAGATTTGAGGCCGCTAGAATTTATGCGTACTAGTATGTCAAAAACCCCTACGCGTAAGACGTACTAGTACGACCAAAACCCTCAAAGGGTTAATGGGGTCAAATATGAATGGGGATTAGTCACTAGTGACATTCCACAAGGATCAGTTTTAGGCCCTCTCTTGTTCATAATTTACATTAATGACCTTGATGAAGGGATTACGAGTGACATGAGTAAATTTGCAAATGATACAATGATAGGCCGTATAATTCAGTCTGAGGAGGATAGCAATGAACTTCAGGAGGATTTGGACAAATTAATGTCTTGGTCTGAAAAATGGCAGATGAAGTTCAATGTTGATAAGTGTAAGGTACTAGTCCTTGGTAATGAAAATAACCCTCGAAGCTATAAACTAGGTGAAGTAGAGCTTGATCATATAGAATGTCAAAAAAACTTGGGATTCATGGTAAGCAGAAATCTAAAGCCAAGACAGCAGTGCCTTAGTGTGTGCAACAAGGCCAACAGATTACTAGGATTTATCTCTAAAGTATAAGTAATAGAAGTCCAAAAGTTATTTTACAGCTCTATACCTCACATGTGAGGCCTCATTTAGATTATGCTGCTCAGTTTTGGTCTACTTACTACAGGATGGATATAGACTCATTGGAGAACATACAGAGAAGAATGACTAAAATGATTTACTGTGTAAGGAATCTCCCATATGACTTAAAGCCTTAAATCTCCCCTCTCTGGAGAGACATAGAATGAGGGGAGATATTACTGAAGTTTATAAGTGGATGACGTGCATAAACAAAGGAGATATTAATAAAGTACTGAGGGTGTCGAATCAGTTAAGAACCAGAAATAATGGATTTAAGTTGGAAAAATTTAGATTTAGAAAGGACATAGGTAAGTACAGTGGACCCCCGCTTAACGATCACCTCCCAATGCGACCAATTATGTAAGTGTATTTATGTAAGTGCATTTGTATGTGTATGTTTGGGGGTCTGAAATGGACTAATCTACTTCACAATATTCCTTATGGGAACAAATTCGGTCAGTACTGGCACCTGAACATACTTCTGGAATGAAAAAATATCGTTAACCGGGGGTCCACTGTACTGGTTTTCTAACAGAGTTGTGGATGCATGGAACAATCTTCCCAGTAGGGTGATCGAGGCTAGGACCTTGGGTAGCTTTAAAAAGAGATTGGACAAATATATGAGTGGGAGGGGCTGGGTTTCATTGGTGAGTAAATTCTTGGGTAGCTTTGGGTAGAGGTTTTTGATAACGACCTTCTTTGTATGGGCCAGTAGGCCTTCTGCAGTGTTCCTCCATTTTTATGTTCATATGTTCTTAACAGGCCTGCTGCAGAGTTCCTCTTTTCTTATGTTCTTATTGCTTGGGTAGCATTGAAGGTGGGTTGGGCAAATGTTCTGTTAGTGGGATGAATTTGTGAAGGACCTGCATAGTATGGGCCAACAGGCCTGCTGCAGTGTTCCTCCTTTCTTATGTTCTTATTAATGTTGAACAGTCCAATGACAAGTTACCTTTTCTATAAAGGACGTTGAAACATGCCTTCTCACATCCATCCATATACATTTGCCCAATCTAATTTTTATGCTACCCAAGCCATAGCTTTTGTAACCTTTCTTTCTCATGTACCAGCTGACTTTTCTACCACTACTACTACCCAGTACGTTGGCAATTTTCTAAGATTCGACTTACATCCATTTTGACTTATGACCAGTTGGTCGGAACCAAACTCGTTTGTAAGTCGGATGGTAAGTGTACGTCGGTAAGCGAGGAGAGGCTGTAATTTGAAATGTCCGTGTTAGTGAACTGCCGTAAAGCGAGGCCCTCCTGTAAGGTGTACAGCTTTAGTTTTAAGTGACTAACTTATCCCTAATCTTTGCCCTATAAACTTTTAAAAACTCCTTTTAGATCTCTCTTTGATTCGTTTACATTTTTTGGTCATTTAATTAATAGAACCATACCTGTAAATCGCAATTCCTGTATAATAAAATTTGGAAATAAATGATTACTCATGAATGTCAGCATAGTGGCTGATCCCTTACATGTGTTGTATGTATAGATTAGTTGAGTATCATAGTACAATCCATGTGTTTATATAGAAGATCCCTTAGGCCTGTGACTGTATGACATCAGGGGATGCAGCGAGCGAGTGGGTCGCTCTGCCTCGTTCTCACTCGGCGTTCAGACATCCAAGCAGGCAGTAACACGGCAGGCTGGGCTCATCCCTTCCTTACCACAGTCTGACAATATATATCGTTACCATCCAACAAGGTGTTTACCTTCAACCCTCTTATCTCCATACCGAACCCCTACGACATGAACAGCAACTGTGAAGTTGCATATAGCAGTACCTGTATTTGTTTCCAATTTATTTATGACAATTTATTTTTTTAATGTCTAACACCATATATAAAATTTTTTGATAAATGCTGTGTTTCAAAGTGTTGTTATTCAAAACATGCAAAGCATAGTGAACCGTACTCCAGAATGCAATATTCGCTATGAAATGGTACAAGTAATTGTTTTTCAATCTAATAATTGTTTTTGTCTTCTAACACAATGTACAGTGGTAAATCGAATTTCAAACAGCTCCCAACTCGAACAATTATGTACGTGTATTTTGTAAGTGCTTTTGAAAGTTTATTTTTGGGGGTCTGAAATGGACTAATCTAATTTACATCATTCCTTGTGAGAACAAATTCATTCAGTAATGGCACTTGAACAGCCTTCTGGAACGAATTTCGGCCGATACTCGAGGTACCACTGTATAGGGAAATCTCATGACTGTCTCAGAGTGTGAGAGTCCTCATAACATGAAAATAAGTTTAACTGTTGACTTTACTGGGTTATCCTAGATTTAAAATAATATACTGCTGTGTGCTTTTCTGGAAGAATTCCACTGCTAATAACATGAAGTTGAAATAAATTGGGGGGTAAATAAAGCATATTGCTGTCATTTTCACACCCTTTCAAGGTGTGATGGTTCTTTATTATATAAATGGTTTAGAAAACTGACACACACATGTATTTATTTGTGACAGTCCTCAAAATATGTTAAGAAGTTACACTGACTTTTTTTAGGATAGTCCTAGATTAAAAATCAACATATTTTGACTGAATTCCACAGTGTCATAAAATTATAATGAACCTGAACAAATAAGGTATCAACCTCCCAATTTCAAATCCTGTTTGATGGATGGTAAGGTGATGGAGGCATGACAGGTCCTGGTTTCATAGTTTACATGTGTGCTCTCAAGGCAGAGGACCCACCTCATCCTAAATTTTTTTCCCATACATAAAGAAGATACCAGTAACCCAAACAGTTCAGCTGAAGCCTAAAAATTGTGACAAACAGCGAATCTGAGACCTACAAAAATTTGCCTTTATGTACATCTTACACAGAATGTTCCCTGTGTGTACAGGATGAGACTATCACAGTACTAAATGAACATTATATGACTATCATGGTGCTATATGAACACTATGTGACCATCATGGTGCTACAGGAACATTATGTGATTATCATGGTGCTACATGAACACTGTGTGACTATCATGGTGCTACATGAAATTGTGACTATCATGGTGCTACATGAACAGTGTGTGACTATCACGATGCTACATGAACATTATGTAACTATCATGGTGCTATATGAACACTGTGACTATCATGGTGCTATATGAACAATGTATGACTATGATGGTGCTACATGAACAGTGTGTGACTATCATGGAGCTACATGAACATTGTGACTATCATGGTGCTATATGAACATTGTGACTATCATGGTGCTATATGAACTTTGTGACTATCGTGGGGCTATATGAACAATATGACTTTCATGGTGTTACATGAACATTATGACTATCATGGTGTTACATGTTTATCATGTTGTAATAATGTTGGTAGAATTACTGACAATATGTAAAGTAAAAGGACACAAGTGCAACTAATGTGACATTTTTATGGTGGCAACATTCCGCTCTCCAGGAGCTTTGTCAAGCAGTTACTCTACTTTGTGAATGAGGACGTCTAGGAAAGGTAGCTTGTCATTGCACTCTTCTTTTAGTGTAAACAGTAACGGCTTGACAAAGCTCCTGGAGAGCGGAATGTTGCCACCATAAAAATGTCACATTAGTTGCACTTGTGTCCTTTCACCTTACATGTTTATCATGGTGTAGCATGAACATTATATGACTATCGAAGTGCTGTATGAACACCATGACAGCACAGTAGTGCACCACAGGTGACTGAGCTAGAGTTCATTCACATGTCTTCTGAAGATTCTGCTGACTAGCTTGTGATGCCAATGACAAATATAAAATTGTCACAATTGGGGAAGCAGAGAAAAATCCTTCATCCGTAAGCCATGCATGTCATAAAAGGCAACTAAAATGCCGGGAGTAATGGGTAAGTAACCCCCTTCTCCTGTATAAATTACTAAATGTAAAAAGAAGAAAAAATTTACATTTCTTCTTTTTCCTGGGTAGGAGACAGCCAAAAAAACTGTTCACAATAAAAGGTGAAAATATTTCACATCTCACCATCAAAATTACATACGTATAATTTACAAGAATTCATGCCATGACCAGATATGTTGGACAGGCAGAACATACCACGTGACGGCGGCTCCGAGACAGGCGCTGCTAGCGTCTCCATGTGGCCACATTGACTGACCACACTCGCTGCCCACCCACCGCTCTTTTCAAATGTTCTACCTGTGGAAGGAAAAACAACTAATAAATTCAGTAGCTACCTGCCATTTTCTTATTTTTTTTTTATTAACACATCGACCATTTCCAACCAACAAAGGGAGACTCGAAAAGGAAAAACTTTCATCATCATTCACTTCATCATCATCTTGCCAGAGGCATGCTTACAATATGGTTATAAAACTGCAACATTAACACCCCTCCTTCAGAGTGCCAGCACTGTATGTCCCATCTCTAGGAATCAAGTCCAGCCTGCCGGTTTCCTTGAATCCCTTCGTAGATGTTATCTTGCTTACACTCCAACAGCATGTCAAGTATTAAAAACCATTTGTCTCCATTTGCTCCTATTTAACATGCTCATGCACGCTTGCTGGAAGTCCAAGCTCCTCGCATATAAAACCTCCTTCACCCCCTCCCTCCAACCTTTCCTAGGCCGACCCCTACCCCGCCTTCCCTCCACTACAGTTTTATACACTCAAAGTCATTCTATTTCATTCCATCCTCTCTACATGTCCAAACCATCTCAGTAACCCCTCCTCAGCCCTCTGGATAATAGTTTTGGTAATCCCACACCTCCTCCTAATCTCCAAACTACGGATTCTCTGCATTATATTCACATCATACAGTGCCCTCAGACATGACATCTCCACTGTCTTCAGCTTTCTCCTTGCTACAGCATTCACAATCCATGCCTCACACCCATACAAGAGCATTGGTATAACTATACTCTTGTACATTCCCGTCTTTGCTTTCATGGATAAATTTGTTTGTCTCCACAGACTCCTCAGTGCACCACTCATCTTTTTCCCCTCGTTAATTCTATGATTCACCTCATCCTTCACAGAGCCATCTGCTGACACATCCACTCCCAAATATCTGAACACATTCACCTTCTCCATACTCTGTCCCTCCAATCTGATATCCAATCTTCCATTACCTAATTTTTTTGTTATCCTCATCACCTTACTCTTTCCTATATTCACTAGTAATTTCCTTCTTTTACTTACCCTACCAAATTCATCAACCAATCTTTGCAACTTTTCTTCAGAATCCCCCAGAAGCAAAGTGTCATCAACAAAGAGCAACTGTAACAACTCCCACTTTGTGTTAGATTCTTCATCTTTTAACCCCACACCTCTTGCCAACACCCGCACATTCACTTCTCTTACAACTCTATCTATAGAAAAAAGATGTTTATTTTGACAAATTACATGGTTGTACAGAGGAATATAATAGTTGATATATTGAACAACCATAGTGACATCACACATCCCTAAGGCCTACTTACACTGAGAAATAATCTCCCTCTCGCCTACATACTCTAACCTGAGCCTCACTATCCTCGAAAAAACTTTTCACTGCTTTCAGTAACCTACCTCCTATTCCATACATCTGCAACATTGCCCCCCTATTTACCCTATTAAATCTATCATACAATATACTCTGTAGGTATACTGTATATGACAACATTCAAAGTATTAACAGATATATTCTAGTTGTCATGACACCAGAAGAGGTGTCCCCTTTCCCCAACAACCCAAGCCTGAAACATTTCATAAGCTGTAGCTCGACACCCTCAGAAGGCTCAAGAATTGCAGTTTAACACCCACAATAAGTCTAGGAACTGCATCACAACACCCTTAACCCCTTCAGGGTCCAAGGCCAAAATCTGAAGTGGTGCTCGTGTCCAAGAAATTTTGAAAAAAAAAAAAAAAAATGAATTTTTCTTACAGAATTAAAGAGTATATTTTTGTGAAGGTAATAAGACAAAAAAAAAATTCTGATCAGTACTTACCGAGATACAGCAGCGGGAAGTTGACCCAAAATGACCGGGTGGCGGCAACATCAGTGACTTGCGCAAAATCCTATTTTTTTTATTTTACGTTTTTTATACTTTTTTCTTTTCTTTTCTAAATTTTTTCTTTATCTAATAACATTTGTGGCCTGTGAGACCAGTATAATGTATATTGTATAAGTGTACACTCATTGTATTCAACACAATAACTGCACTAATTTATCATTATATTGCTTACAAAACTTGTTTACAAGGTTATTGTAAACAAAATGATGAAAATATTAGTGCGGTTGTGTTGAATACAATGGTACCATATAGTACTATATGGTACAATGATGCCATAGGGTGCAATGGTACCATATGGTACAATGACACCATATGATACAATGGTACCATATGGTACAATATGGTACAGTGGCACATGATACAATGGTACCATGTGATACAATGGTACCATAGTACATGCACATACAATGGTACCATGATACATAGTACTATGGTGCAATGGTACCATATGGTGTAATGGTACCATATGGTGTAATAGTACCATATGGTACCATATGATGTAATGATACCATATGGTACATTGTACCATACAGTACAATACCATATTGCAATTGTACCATATGGTACAATGCAATATGATGTAATGGTACCATATGGTACCTTGTACCATACAGTACAATGATACCATATTGCAATTGAACCATATGGTACAATGGCACCATATGATACAATGGTACCATATGGTACAATGCCACATGACACAATGGTACCTGGAGTTTACCTGGAGAGAGTTCCGGGGGTCAACGCCCCCACGGCCCGGTCTGTGACCAGGCCTCCTGGTGGATCAGAGCCTGATCAACCAGGCTGTTGCTGCTGGCTGCACGCAAACCAACGTATGAGCCACAGCCCGGCTGGTCAGGAACCGACTTTAGGTGCTTGTCCAGTGCCAGCTTGAAGACTGCCAGGGGTCTCTTGGTAATCCCCCTTATGTATGCTGGGAGGCAGTTGAACAGTCTCGGGCCCCTGACACTTATAATATGGTCTCTTAACGTGCTAGTGACACCCCTACTTTTCATTGGGGGGATGTTGCATCGTCTGCCAAGTCTTTTGCTTTCGTAGTGAGTGATTTTCGTGTGCAAGTTCGGTACTAGTCCCTCTAGGATTTTCCAGGTGTATATAATCATGTATCTCTCCCGCCTGCGTTCCAGGGAATACAGGTTTAGGAACCTCAAGCGCTCCCAGTAATTGAGGTGTTTTATCTCCGTTATGCGTGCCATGAAGGTTCTCTGTACATTTTCTAGGTCAGCAATTTCACATGCCTTGAAAGGTGCTGTTAGTGAGCAGCAATATTCCAGCCTAGATAGAACAAGTGTCCTGAAGAGTGTCATCATGGGCTTGGCCTCCCTAGTTTTGAAGGTTCTCATTATCCATCCTGTCATTTTTCTAGCAGATGCGATTGATACAATGTTATGGTCCTTGACATGATCACTCCCAGGTCTTTGACTTTGGTGTTTCACTATTTTGCGGCCAGAATTTGTTTTGTACTCTGATGAAGATTTAATATCCTCAAGTTTACCATATTTGAGTAATTGAAATTTCTCATCGTTGAACTTCATATTGTTTTCTGCAGCCCACTGAAAGATTTGGTTGATGTCCGCCTGGAGCCTTGCAGTGTCTGCAATGGAAGACACTGTCATGCAGATTCGGGTGTCATCTGCAAAGGAAGACACGGTGCTGTGGCTGACATCTTTGTCTATGTCGGATATGAGGATGAGGAACAAGATGGGAGAGAGTACTGTGCCTTGTGGAACAGAGCTTTTCACTGTAGCTGCCTTGGACTTTACTCTGTTGACGACTACTCTCTGTGTTCTGTTAGTGAGGAAATTATAGATCCATCGACCGACTTTTCCTGTTATTCCTTTAGCACGCATTTTGTGCGCTATTACGCCATGGTCACACTTGTCGAAGGCTTTTGCAAAGTCTGTATATATTACATCTGCATTCTTTTTGTCTTCTAGTGCATTTAGGACCTTGTCGTAGTGATCCAATAATTGAGACAGCCAGGAGCGACCTGTTCTAAACCCATGTTGCCCTGGGTTGTGTAAATGATGGGTTTCTAGATGGGTGGTGATCTTGCTTCTTAGGACCCTTTCAAAGATTTTTATGATATAGGATGTTAGTGCTATTGGTCTGTAGTTCTTTGCTGTTGCTTTACTGCCCCCTTTCTGGAGTGGGGCTATGTCTGTTGTTTTTAGTAACTGTGGGACGACCCCCATATCCATGCTCCCTCTCCATATGATACAATGGTACCATATGATACAATGGTACCATATGGTACAATGGCACCATTTGGTACAATGGTACCATATGATACAATGGTACCATATGGTGCAATGATACCTTATGGTACCATATGGTGTAATGGTACCATATGGTACCATATGATGCAATGGTACCATATGGTACATTGTACCATACAGTACAATGATACCATATGGTTCATTGTACCATATGGTACTGTTGTATTCAACACAATAAACACACTAATATTTTCATAATTTTGTTTACAATAGTTGTTTACAACAAAAATATGCAAAAATGTTATTTATTAGTAATGTTCTATTATACATTTACAAGTGTACAGGAACTTAATGCGTTCCTTGAGGTGGATGACAAAGCACTTTGTCTCGGAAACTGGAGAGTCAGTAGCTAGCTTGTGTCACCACTCACTCAGTCTTGGCTGGTGTCTCATGCCACCAACACCTATTGACCATATGGTACACGGTATCATATGTTACAGGGTACCATATGGTACACTGTACTATATGGTATAGGGTACCATGCAGTACAGGATAACATATGATGCAGGGTACCATATGGTGCAGGGTACCATATGGTGCAGGGTACCATATGGTACAGGGTATCATATGGTACAGGGTACCATAAGGCACAGGGTACCATATGGCACAGGGTACCATATGGCACAGGGTACCATATGGTATAGAGTACCATAGAGTACAGGACACCATATGGTACAGATACAGGGATAACTATGGAAATAAGTCACCCTGACTTTTCTGGGTTATCCTAGGATTTTATACATATGTTGCTATTTATTTATTTATTTATTTATTTATTTATTTATTTAGTAATTTAAGCATACAAACAGAGGTACAAAAAATACAGGTAAGAGCAGCATGCCAAA